CGAGTGTGATCTCTACAGAAGCATCTAGAAAATCCCAAATCATGCGCCATGGTTTTAGTTGAATATCTATGTTTTCGGTACACTTAGTAATGTTTCAGAAATTTCCAGTAGCCCAAGTTTGAGTGCAACACTTTAAAAATCCCCGTTTTCCGGCATTCAAACAAACCTGGGATAAAGCATGTTTTTGCACTTGGTACATTTTTTATTGTTCTCGAGTTGTCACATAGATCTAGTCTAGGTTATTAGAGCGGTTAAAAAACTGAATCAAACGTTTATTAATTGAAAGATATATAAGTCCGTGCAAATTGACCCTTTCTTCGTCTTCCATCTTTTTATACAAATAGACTAGAAGTGATTACACCGTTTAAATTTTCAGTGGGGAAATGGGTTTACTGGAACGACTAAAATTGAGATTTCGCGTCTTTTGCCTGATCATAAATACTTTGCTACCATTTAAGAATTCTTAAAAGTAATACGCAAGCTCCTTGAACTTTGTTACATTACAACAAGGTTGAAGCCTTACCTTTATTCGTCTGAGAAAAACTTGAAATCTTTGCTCGACGCGGATAGTAATGTGATCTCTCTGTTGTCCTCACACTTATTAAGACATATATTCTTCGGTGTCTTGATGAAGTTCCCTTTGTCTGCAGCTAATTATATTTCTGAACTCAGTGCCTCAGCTGGTAAAGCACTTTCAAAGACCAGAGTAACTGCCTGGCCAGGTGATTCAGATTTGTATGGTAAGAACAGAAGGCCTACGGCCTATGTTATTCCTTTTCTAGTATTCTTCTGTGAGTGTTCAGACTTCTCTTGAAAGAGTCAATTGAAGGTGCGGACACCACTGCTTCGGGCAGCAGGTTCCAAGTATTGATGACTCAGTGTGAGAACCTGTATGCCACGGGTATTTTGTTCGTTCTTGGCTTTTCTACTCGCCTGCTATGTCCTCTGAGATGTCCCGATCTAGTGGGAAGAAAAAAAGAGAAAGTTAGGTCCAAAATCATTTCTCAGTATTCTGTACATCAAGATTAAATCTCCCCTTAATCTGCAATCGGACAGTGTGAAGAGATCTAGCTTTTCAAGCCGCTGTTTGTATGGTAAACCCCGGAGCTCTGGAATTGCACGGGTAGCTGCCCTCTGTACTTTTTCTAGGATATCCGAGTCACCTTTTAAACACGGGCTTGCGGCCTGAACGCAGTTCTCAAGCTTAGTTTTCACTAAGGACGTGTATACTTTGGTGAACATGATAGTATCTAGCTTAATGAATGTCCGTTTTAATGCTCAGAGGGTTCGAAACCCCTTAGCTGCGACTTCCCGGCAATGGGTCGTTGTCTTAAGATCCTGACTTATTGTCACCCCCAGATCCTTATGAGACCGAACCACTGGTAATTGCACTTCCCCTATGTTATACCTATTAACATTTGAGTCGCCGAAGTGCATGTAGATACACTTCCTCGCGTTGATAGGCATCAGCCACTCTTTAGACCAGTTAATCATATTATTTAAGTCTGCCTGAAGAGCATATGAGTCTGTGTCTCCAGTTATTACTCGCCAGATCTTTACATCGTCAGCGTATAATAACATTGGAGATTGTACTATACTTGGAAGATAATTGACATACATTATGAAAAATAAAGGACCTAGGACGGAACCTTGAGGTACTCCATTAAGTACTGTTCTCCAGATGAAGCACTTGGAATTTATTGTTACCTTCTGTCTATGACCTACTAGGAAATCCTCAATCCATTTTAAAAGAGGTCCAGCAATACCAAGGTTTTCCAACTTCAATAGCGGTCTATTTGTTGGCACCTTGTCAAAAGCCTTACTGAAGTCTATGTAGACAACATCCACTGAGTTTCCGTCGTCTGGCGCCTTCATCCGAAATTCCCTTGCTAAAAGGAGGTTTGTTGTACAGGATAGACCCTTTCTAAAACCATGTTGTTCTATGTTTAACAAGTTATTTGTTTCAATAAATTCCATTATGGTTCGTTTGACTATTCTCTCCAATATTTTAACTGCATCACTTGTGAGGCTTACAGGTCTGTAGTTCGATGGAACTTGTCTTGGTCCTGTTTTACATATGGGAGTGACGATTGTGTCCTTCCAGTCCATAGGTAACACACCTTGATTAAGTGACATACTGAATATCACAGTCAATAGGGCCACGATATATTGTGCAATATGTCTTAAGATTTTAGAGTGTAGTTCATCTGGTCCTGTTTACTTTTCCATTTTTAAGGTGCTAAGAGCCTCAAGCGCATCGTCTTGATCGAAGTCTGCGGTGAGCAGGTGGTTTATTGACTCTTTATTTTGGTCTGGTTCTTTATCCAAAGGAGGTTCCTGAATGAAAACTGCCCCAAAATAGTCAGCCATAGCCTCTGCTTTGTCCTGATCTTCCTCTATCATTTCAAATTCACTCCCTTCTTTAGTTAGATTTGGAATCGAATAATGCATCCTTGTTCTGTAGTTTATGTACGAGGATATTCTCTTGGGCTGCTTGAGTGCAGATTGTGCCTACTGCATTTCATATTTCCTTTGAGCTTCTCGAATTTTTGTTATACACTTGTTTCTTACCGATCTGTAGCGTTCCATCGTACCTGCTGGGCCAAGGCGGATGGCGACACCCCAACACTTCTTCTTTTGTCTTAGTAAACGTCAAATATCCCTGCCTATCCAAGGATGCAGGTGTTTTTTCTTCTTTGGGACTGTCCAGGGTATGTATGGTTGAGTTACCCGGTTGTATAACTACCTGAAATGCGTCCATGCCTCTTGTACTGATGCCCTCGAGTCAATTTCCCAGTTTTCAGTCGATGCTGCGGAGTTGATGGTCTCCATATCTGCCTTCCATATGTTAGGACGGGCCGGCGCAACTGTTTGACAGGCAATCTCAGCCACGAATTTGAATAAGATGACTGCGTGGTCACTTTTCCCTAGCGGTGGGAGGAAATTCATTTGACCAACGTCATCACCGTGTGTGAAGACTAAATATAAAAGAGAGGAGTTTCCTAAGTCATATCTTGTGGGAGTTCTAATTTGTTGGAACAAAGCTAAGGCAATCGATGTTTCTAACAGTTTGCAATCGAACGACGTTGTCGATGATCCTACTTCTAAGTTAACCCAGTGTATATACGGTGCGTTAAAGTCGCCTACCACAAGGCTTTTACCCTTTTTACACCAGGACTTAAGTCTACTTAGGAGAAAATCATCTACCACGCATTCTGGACTGCGATATACTACAAATAATTCAATATCTTGCCGTCTACATTTCAGCCTACATCGAAACAATTCACATATTCCTGAAACATGTGCTACTGTCTCAGCTACTATTATGGTCAGAGTACTTTTCGTGTGCAGGATAACCCCGCCCCTTCTACGATTTAATCTATCAGTCCTACTGGATAAAAAACCAGACAAGTGAATTTCATTATCTAATACTTCCGGCGTTAACCAAGTTTCTGAGACAGCAATAACATCCGGTTTCTCTTTATCCACCATTGACTTAAGCTCCGCCATTTTATTTAGTAGGCTGCGAGCATTTGTGTAGAATACCTTTAAGTCTGCGGAGAACTTTCCCTTACCACCCAGAGTGGTTTGGGGATCGTTTTGCCCCGAACTTTTACAATTTGAAAACCCTTAAAAATGAGGTTTCTTTCACCATTTCGGCGACGCTCATTTATTTCCACTTCTGCAGCTAGGCTGAGATCCTCACGGACATATATTCCGGATCCAATCGGTTTACGTGAGTTATCTAGAATCAGGTTCCTTTCTTCAACCGTGGAAAATGTAACCTTCAAGAGGCGGTTTTTCTGAGGGCTTTCCGAATCCACCTTTCGTCCTGTTCGACAAAGCTTACAAATGCTAACTCCTGAAACTGTATCTGGGAGTAGTTTGCTTATTAAAGACTTAATGTGACTGAAGTCGTGTTCAAATCTAGCCTTTGGTTCCTTATCGGAAGATTCTCTTAACTTATGAAAAATGACTGACCTCTCAGAGAGATTTGTCTTGACACGCAGTGTAATTTTCGTTTCTGATACCGTCTCTTCCAATGACTTGCTGACCAGCTGCGGTTCGCCTACAGCTTTTTTCTTCGCATTTCTTCTTCTCCGTGCTGAAGTCCTTTTATCCTCACTCAGGACAGCCACACTGGGACTATTTGGAACGATGACAGTGTTATCCGGGTCTTCAATTTCCACTAAAGGTGTATGATTTCCAATATCAATACCAAGTGGCACTTCGCTTCTCGTTAATGTTAACGGTGTTTTTACTATTCCATCAATCACATTCGGGTGTTTAACGGGTCCGGTAGCAGCACTTAATACACTGACACTTTCTTCGCTGTCAGTGCTCGTGGTGTCAGGACAACCGCCATCGTTTTTCTTACAGGCCAAAGCCAATAGGCTGATAGCCTCCTGGATTAGTATCTTTTTATTTGTACAGCAAAACATACAGAGCCAATGAGAGTTCGGTTTCGTGCATCTTTTGTATGCCTTAGGACTTAGATGTGTATATATCTTATGGTACCACTTTTTACATTCACCGCACTGCATTCCTTCCTCAACGGGGAACAAGCAGTTTAGTTGTCCACATTTATAAGTCCTACTAACCATTGTAATTTGATTTAAAATGTTTAAAACACACTATGGTCACAACGTGAACACGAGTGTCAGTCAATGAGTAAGCAAGAAAGGTACCACAGGACAAAGTTTAGAGAAAATTTCAAACAATAACCAAAGTACTTTTAGTTAAAGTAGACCAAGAATGCTTTCTGTTGCAACTAGTACACAAAGCAATGATAATCACAACCAGTACAAAAATCACTCCCCTTTTTGAAACGATAAGATTAAGAAACTACACATCAGATAGGAGGCATTCCTTTCACATGAAACGCATGTCTGAAAGATGTTCTTTTTCTATATTTAAATTGACAAACAGTTGAAAAATACCTCTCACAACTTGACTTGTGTTCTTTTGTTAATTTGACGAACTGCGCAACACTAAGGATATTCTGGAGCGCTTTTTGGTGTGCTTTCGATTGTACGACTCTGTTTTGTCATGATGCTTTCTTTCTTAAATATGGTAAGTCAGTCTGACTATCTTCATACAAACGAATCTTAAATGCTAAATTTCTCGATTGTCGCCTCAATATGTATAATGTTATGTCGAAATGAGTAATGTAGCTTGGTTAGTGGTGATCACAAATTAATCAGCTGTTCCCATATGTCCGTTGCTATCTTGCCTCTGATAGTAATTTCCTTTATATCAAATTAAGACAGATTTGTCAAACGCTTTACAAATTGATACTTTGGCTCCTTAGTTACTGGCTGGTGTCATTCAGTTCGTGCTTTTATATTCGCCGTCTAGTTAGCTATCGAACATCCTGCGGTCGGAACTTGAATACCTAGACCGTTAAATGGTGTTATAGCCATCCCATGTGTTGGTGAAAATGAACCATGCAAACCTACCTGGTCACAAACTAATTGGTTTTTTGAGTTTGTACTCGTGTGTGCATGAAAGGTGCTTGAGCATTAAGACAAAATATCATTCTTTCGGTAGTTTTAAGTACCAGGATATAGTTTGGAGATACAGAACATGAGTAACTATACTGATCGTACTAGTTAGTCTTATTTTGTGATGCCCTACCTAGAGAAGCTACAAAACATTTAACGAAAAATTGTTTCTGAACAGTGAGTTGAAAACCATGTGTTTTAGTCCAACCAAACGACCAATTATTAATCATACCCTAGAATGCTTATCAATAAAAATGGGTGGTTATTAACAAGACGTTTGTTGAATATTTACATGCGTATCAAGAATAGCTGAGGTTTATAAAAACGAGTATTCCCTTTGGACATCTTGTAATATTTGTGTATACCAGACATTCTGCTGTTAATGTCAGAGCATGTGATTATGGACGAAGGTAGACTTGATACGCTCGTGTCAAGTTCATCTGGAAAAGGTTAGCGTTTTAGTCATCACAGAAATCTCAATCTAAGAAACCGTACCTTGTGTTGGTCTTCAGAGACAGACCTATATTACCTGGAAGTTCCCTGAATAACTTAGAGTACTCATGAGATAGTACTATTTGATGAAGGTGCTGGCATAGTGCAGAGTATTATAAACTTAAGTAACAGTGAGTTTCTTCCTCTCAATGTTTCGGACTGATCTGAATAATAACATTGATTAATTGCTGGGAGTGAGGTAGTGTGGTGTTCCGATCACTAATCTTGGAAGTCTCTTTAACCCTATTAGGTTGGTGACTGAAGAAAAATTCATACGACAGAAAGCTTAGTTGGCTTTTGCATATCTACAAGACTTGTTGCGTAGGTGAAATGTTCGTCTGCCAATCATAGGGCTAGTATACTGTCAGTTAACTCGGTTATTTATTTATTTGAACACATAAATATTGGTATGAGGGCACCAAATATATATCTTCCACACAAAACAATGAGAATTTAAAGAGAAGGGAGAAAAGAAAGGAGGGTAAGGAGCGTATAAAAAAAACAACAACAACCAGATTAGTGTAAGGTAGTGTGATAATAATAATGATAATAATAATAATAATGGGGGGAACGGTAAGGTACAACCAGAAGAAATCCTTCAGTTAAGGAAGAAGCAACCACTTTTTATGAAGTAAAAGAAGGTTACAGCAGGATCGCCACTGGCTTCTATTCTGAGCCATAACTGATAACGACTCTAGCCACTGTGTCGCGCCATCTCTCGGACGTCAGCCTGGGAATCGTGAAGGACCAACACAAGCCAGCCCTTAGCAGCTTTCTTTCATACCCCGACACCATGTCATGCACTGACCACCTCCACTTTTTCCAGTCAGTCCCAGAATCGGCAAATAATGCACGCCGTGGAATTCTCTGGGATGACATTCGTAGAACATGTCCAAGCCATCGAAGTCTGTGTTTCAAGATGGTGACACCAATCGCATTCTCGTCTCTGTGCCCGAACACACGATGCCGAACCTCTGCACTACTAACATGGTGTTGCCACTGGATGTCAGCGATCCTTCGGAGACAACGATGATCGAACACAGAGAGTCGTCTAACATCCTCAACTCGGAGAGGCCAGGTTTCACAAGCATAGAGCAAAACTGCTCTCACCGACGCGTTGTAGATCCGACTTTTACAGCCAGACTAACATCACGAAGGCGCCAAAGATGGCCCAGATTGGCATAAGCCGCTCTGGCTTTCACTATACGTGCATTGATCTCATCACTCACGCCACCACCAGCACTTACTTATGCAGCTACCTAGATACACGAATTTCTCGACTACTATCTGCTCACCATCCAGAGTGAGTACAGGATTAGAATCCTGCCAGTCTTGCATAAGTATTTTGCACTTCGAAGGTGCAAAGCACATACCAAACCTACGGACACTGATTGTCAACTGATTAAGTGCGGATTGCATGGCTTGGCCATTCTCGCACAGTAAGACAATATCATCCGCATACTCAAGGTCGAGAAGTCTTTCTCCAGGCAACTGAACCACACCACCATTATTTACATCCATCAGAGCTGTTTCCAGAATGTCATCGATGGCAAAGTTGAAGGGAAATGGTGAGATCGGGCAACCTTGCTTAACCCCACTGCTCGAATGGAACAATGGAGAAAGGTGGTTGTATGCCTTCACTCTGCCTGAGGTGTTGGTATATAGGGCTTTTAGGATGTTAATAAACTTCTTAGGCACACCCTTCTTCAATAGACAATCCCAAAGAACAGTCCTATCCAACGAATCGAAGGCATCTCTGATGTCATGAAACACTACGATTGTTGGCCTTTGATAAGTACGATGGTGTTCTAACATTTGGCGGAGGGCGAAGATATGATCAATACATCAATACATCCCCAAATGCCCTGGTATGGCCGAGACTGAGGCGGACCCGCCCTCCCTCTCGAAATGCTCTCACATGGCCACGCGTATATATCCTCTGTCAGGGTAGTCTACTCACTGTCTTCTCGTGGCGGAGGTGTTGTTCACGAAAATGAGAGGACGAAAAGCGAATGTCCGGCGCTTTAACTGGATCCCAAATCAAATGTGCACATGGGCTCCGGTATCCTGAGGGAACAAATGGCGTATAAACCAACCGTTGGTTACCGGCCAAGATGGGACTGCACCTCCTTACGATGCTCCACTGCCTTGTGGATCAGAACTTTAGGTCAAAGGCTCGGGACGTGGCCCCCTAAGAAAACCACCTGCTTCGAAAGTCTCATCAGCTTTTGTGGTTTGGTGTGTGACGAAATCTCAGCACGGATACAGTAGGCTCGACTAGCTTTTGCCAACTTGCATCATTTATGACGCAGGTGAGATATCCGTCTATCAACCAAATGACGTGTTTACTACGCAGCAGTTCGTTCCGTCCTACTTTATGGCAGTGAAACATGGCCAGTAAGAGTAGAGGATATTCGTAGGTTACTAGTATTTGATCATAGGTGTCTTTGAAACATTGCTCGTATATCCTGGGACCACCAAGTAAGTAATGTAGTTGTGAGGAAACGGGTACTAGGTAAGGATGGCAAATCAATTGATGAAGTAGTGAAACTTCATCAGTTGAGATGGCTGGGACATGTGTTGCGTATGCCCGACCACCGACTGCCCCGACGTGCGATGCTTTATGGCGTAGGAGTAGGTTGGAAGAAAGCTATGGGCGGCCAGACCAAAACATGGCAGAAATCCATGAAGTCACTGACAAGTGGACTGAGTCATGTTGGTAGGTGTAGACTACCTGGTTGGGGACCGCGAGACGATAGCAACCGATGGTTAGAGACCTTGAATGACATGGCTCAAAATCGTTTGCAATGGCGCAGGTGCATCCACTGTTTGTGTTCTCTCAAACTCTAATCTTCTGAATTCTTCATGTCCTTTATTTTCTTTCCCAATTTATTCCACTGGACTATACTCCTTTAATAACATCATCAAACCTTAATATCCCCTATCTCTACTTATACTTTCAGTACCTCTACCACTATGGGATTCGAATCGATAACTGAATTTCTGTGCTAATGTGGTATGGCAACTCGAACTGATGTACGTACGTACGAAGTTCCACGTTGTTACTGACTGACTGACTGACCTGCTTCGGTTTGGGCACCCGGGCAGTATCACAGCCCACACACAGATAACATTTTGTGTGGCGCATATATATTTGGTGCCCTCTTGTACCAATATTTATGTATTTAAATCAATCTTTCTCGGGGTTTGAACAACCTACGAAGTATGACGGAAGTCAACTGCTTGGACGCAATTGGAAGTAGACTTATCCACCGATAGTTGTTACAGGAACGACGTGAACCCTTTTCAAAGATAGGGACAACTATCGACTCATTCCATGACGTTAATACACTGCCTTTCAAAGAATTCTGCCCATCGTCCAAGACGTCGATGGAAGTTAGTGATTGGCATCCCGTCATTCTCGCAGATTGTTTCGCTCACACCAGACTTCTTGTTGCCAGTGGCTCGGATGAGTTGGAAGAGCTTCCGGTGATTACCAGATGCAGCTGCTGCTTCCAGCTCATTAGCACGCTCCGACCACCAGGTTTCTCGGTCCTTACGCAAGCTTTGCCCGATTTCATTACGCAACATCCTTCGTTTGTGGTCAAACTCATGGTCACCCGGAGTAGACTGACGGGCTTCAATGAGTTGTAAGGAGTCTGAAGAAACCAAGTGCTTGTAAGCGAGACGTTTCGCGAACTTACAAGTGAATTTACTCGCCATTTTCATGGCGTCATGCAATTGCAACCAATGCTCATCTATACTTTTTCCGTGGAATGGTAGCTAGCCTAGAAACTAGCTCGGTTCGATACCTACTAGCAACAAAAGTTGCAACCAACTTGCTAACATCAATCCTTTGTTAGCGGTCACTTCGTTGTCCACTGAAAAGTAAGGTAAGATTGGCGCAGACCAGGGCATGATCATAGTCCAGATAGGTACTCCAAAAGGAGCGGCAGTCTTGTACACAATCACGCCAGCGGTAGCTATTCGCGATGTGATCAATCTGAGTCCAGGCTTGAGACACAGATGGAGAACGCCAGGTGGCATATCGGCGATGACTGTGCCGAAAGTTAGTGCTAGCCAGAAACAGGTTGTGGTCTATGCACAATTGCAGTAGACGTTCCCCGTTATATGTCCTGCGACCAACGAGTTCCCACCGGCCACCTAAACGACTCTCTTCTGTGCCTAGACGCCCGACCTGATCATTCAAGTCTCCAGCTAGTACTACAATATCTGTCGAACGCACTTTCTGGAGAAGAACAGTTAACAGGTGGTAGGATTCATCCTTGATTGCATCCGGGCTGCAATCTGTCGGGGCATAGGCGGAGATGACGAAAAGACATCGTTTTTCACGCCGATTTCTTCTCGCTTTGATGGAACTTTCTAATCTAAAAGCACATAACCGAATGTTAATGGGGATCCGATCGATTAGTGTTGCCTCAGCTCTAGCGCTTAGTGCGACACCAACGCCAGCAAGACCAGACGAAGATGCCACAGTGTCCCCGAATAAACGCATGTAAAACAAGCTTTTTGAAATGACAGATGAGCGAATTTGTAGTACTTCACCTGAGTCTTGAATACGGGTCTCGGATAGACAACAAACATCGATATTAAGACTTTTCAAAGACATAGTCAGCCCTATCTGTTGTCCTACCTGCATAAGTGTGCGAACGTTGAAGGCAACCAGTTTGGATGGTGCACGTGGTTTCAGAAAAACTGCTTTAGTACTCGTATTCGGTGGTAACATACAATTTTCAACCAGGCAGTGACTCAAGAACGTTTAGGTAGAGCCGAATGTCCATTATAGGCGAGCTGCTGTATTAGTCGAAAAATAAGGATAGATAGAGTAGGAATAAAAGGGAGTGAATAAATGACGTAGTAAAAATAATAATAATAATGCGAGTAGTTTGATTGTTAATCGGAGCGAGAATATTTTCCATAAATAGACAGTTCATTATGTTTTTGTGTGTGGGTTGAGATACTGCCCGGGTGCCTGGACCGAAGCAGGTGGTTTTCTTAGGGGGCCACGTCCCGAGCCTTTGACCTAAAGTTCTGATCCACAAGGCAGTGGAGCATCGTAAGGAGATGCAGTCCCATCTTAGCCGGTAACCAACGGTTGGTTTATACGCCATTTGTTCCCTCAGGATACCGGAGCCCATGTGCACATTTGATTTGGGATCCAGTTAAAGCGCCGGACATTCGCTTTTCGTCCTCTCATTTTCGTGAACAACACCTCCGCCACGAGAAGACAGTGAGTAGACTACCCTGACAGAGGATATATACGCGTGGCCATGTGAGAGCATTTCGAGAGGGAGGGCGGGTCCGCCTCAGTCTCGGCTATACCTGCGCATTTGGGGGCATTTAAGACATGACACTCATGCCTAACCACTATTTACTTTTACGGGCAATGTTTACCGTTGTAGGAATAGGTCGGAAAAATTGTAGGGGAAGCTTCAAGAAGACGTAGCATCTGAACATGAAATCACTGACTGTTGTTGTGATTCATGCTGGTAGACGTTGACCACCTGGTTGGAGTCTGCACGATAACTGCGTTCTTTTTTCGACGGGTAAAATATCTTGGAATTGGCAATAATGGCTCATTTGTATTCGTTCATTTTACTCTAGATCTTGAGTTCTATTATTCCTTGCTACATATCCTTGTCTTCTCGGACCATGTTATCAATCGCTAGTCTCCCTCATTATCTGCTACTACACTATTTCTATTTATATATAATTTTGTCATCTTGCTGATGTATTTTGGTCTAACGCACATATGTGCCAAACGCTACGTTGATTATGACTGACTATTATGTTTCCTAGAATACTTTATTCGTTTTATTCAACTGCCGTAAGACTGGTTCACGCATTTGCATCAGTATCACAATCTAGTATTTGATTGGTGGGATATTTATCGATAATTGTCAACTAACTTTCCCATTGTGACCTGAATCCACAAAATTTGTAATCACTAAGCGGTACTCTTCAGCCGTACATAAATCTATAATTTTTAATTTAGTATATCTGTCTTGTAGCTTCTGCGATCGACTAGTAAAAACTTTAAACTGTTGATATAGCTAGATGAGCCGATGAATTGGTCTACCTAGACTCATTGTCGTATAGTCTCTCAGTACCTAACATGAATAAAAACAGCTTATGCAAAGTAGCGACATTCGCTTCAGGATGGTTTCCTAAGCCATTTGCTTAAAGTAATTAAGGTTTGCTAAGTATATACTTGATAGTCATTGGGGAAACTATTAGTACACCAGGTTAGTTTTACTTTTGCTGTTGAAACTGCTACTGTTTTTGGGAACAAGAAGTAGTTTCATAAAGTTCTTATGGAACTAACTTTTTGGTATTTGGTCCTGTTCATTTGCTTGCCAATTCTGTATTGCGATTTTATTTTAATTTAAGAACTAACAGTTCCGTGCTGCTTCCACACAATAACTAAAATAATTCTTATTTGGTAGCTACTCCGTTAATTCTGCGTGTCCTGTTCAATGTCAGGAAGCCTCATTAGTCAGCGTGAAGAGCAGCCAGTGTTGGTCCTTACCTGTCAGCGAGATTCACACCCTTTTCAGGACCGCATAATTATACTAAATGAGGTAATAAAAGTTGGACGTTCAGTGGCCCGCGCCAAACCTACAAAAACCAATGCCATCTTCGACTGCAAAGTCTTGTCAAGAAGTCATGCATTGATATGGCACAAAGGAGATCGGGTATGTTTTCGAATACTTTTAATCTCATTTACAGTTTTGGTTACGTGATACAAATAGTAGCAATGGAACTTTTGTCAATAACACAAGAATAGTAAAAAAAAATGATGAAGATTTTGCCGACCGTGAGATATTCTCCGGTGATATCATTCGTTTCGGAGTAGATGTCGTTGAACATGATAGTAATTTATATTTCATTGCTTATATTTATTTGACCTTAGCAACTCACGGCTGCATCATAGCTCAAGTTGCTTTGTATCATCCTAATGGAGCGGAAGCAAAACAAAGGTAAATAAACTATTAGTTTTATTCGCTTAGTAGCGTTGATTATGTCAGTAGTAATAATGCTTTGACTGGTATCGAGACACTCCATACTGAACAAATGTTCCGCTTCACACATTACATTAGCGTATGTTTATTTGTTTAGTCATTCACTACTGGTTTTCAGGAGGCTTTATTTCGGGAACAAGTTCTGGACACAAAACTTGAGTCTATCAAACGGCTCCTACAAGAGGCACAAGAAATTTCTGAGGCTGGTTGGCAAGTAAGTTTAAGCTTTCCGTCATTCTATCATTTAGGCTATGGTGGATGAAGATCGACTTTTGGAGAAGCTAAGTCTCTATGAAACCCAATTGTCTTTATTGAAGCAAGTGAGTTGCCTGTTCACAACCATGTTTTTTAACATGAGTTTTGGATTTTGTATACATACTTATATGCTTCGGATTTGTGATATTTTTGTTGTTTCAAGGATTTGCCCGAGAATTCGTTACAGTCGCATCTAATGCAGGCTCTAGAAGAAAAATTTAATCTTGAGAAAGCCAGTAAAATAATGTTGGAACGCCTGTTAAACGAAAAAGCGGAAGTTTTTAGCAAAGCTACAGATCTTGAGGTACGTTCATGTTATTTTAGTTATGTGTACATTTCAGTTGACAAGCATTAAGAACTAATGACTAAGCTTGTTTTTCCTCGTTCTGAGACTTTAGAAGAATCCATCACTTGAGTTCTTTCCAAAGATCCATGAATTCTTCAATCACAGTAACCTTCGAAACACTAAACCTATATATAAGAGTTCTTCTTAAATGTCAAACCATCACTGTCGGACGCCGATAAGCATGCCTGTGTCCTAAGATCTGACGAGTATATGGTCGATGTAGCCACGACCAGGTCTGAAGCCAGCCTGATTTTTTCGTGTTTGCAGTTCACGAGTCTTTGTTAGGCGTCCGATAATTATTAAGGCTAGCATTTTAGATGCTATATTGGTCAAACAAATCCCTCTATGATTGTCACAGAATGATTTTGATCTTTTTTATATATTGGGACAATCAGTGATTGCGATCAGTCAGATGGGATTACGTCCAACTCTTAGATTTTAGCTAAAATATTAGTCAACCTAATCGCTAAAACTGGACCACCATCCTTAAAGTCCTCTGGAGCCAATCCATTTGGACCAGCTGCTCTTCCTCGTTTCAGATTAGTTATAGCTTTTTGAACTTCATATAGAGTCGGGGGACCTACTTCAATGTTCCATTCAGGCTGTCTAGGAATGGTGGGTAGTTGTAGAGTAGCTGGAGGCCAGTCGAACTGCTCCTTAAAATGTTCCGCCCATCGTTCTAAACGTCTTGACTGGGAGCAGATAAGAGTGCTATCTTTTTCCGAGATAGTCTCACACTTGACTTATTAGTTCCAATTTCTTTTTTAGTCTGTAGAGCTGTATTGTGTTACCTACAGCCGCTGCCTTCTCCATATCTTTTGCTTTCGTTGCTCACCGCTACTCATGGTCATTTCTACACCAGCCAGTCCACAAGGATTAGCCATCGGGTCGCCTGATAAATGGAGGGTGTATCTCGTCGGCTCCCCCTTGTGACGAGTTAAGGTCAAGTGAATGACCACACTAGGATCCTGTATGTGTCTTTCATAGACAGCATACATCAATGGTACGAGATTCACTGTTATGCTGGTTGTCTGAGAGGAACACCTTACTGCCGTCACACCTCTGTACAGTCAGCAGTACGACTTCGCCCTCGGACCCTGGGTTTGCTGCTCTTCAACTGACCTGTCTGGCATAGTAGGACCTTAAGGAACGATTGTTTCAGCCAGCATAGCTCGATCGGTCCATCACGATAGACAAGCCTGACCACCACGTCATGGTAGCAGCAACGGTATTTATGTACTTTATATCTAAATGTAATTTCTAAAGGAATATGAACCACTTTTTATGTTCTTGTTTATGAGTCTGATACAATTTTAATGATTCTGTTGATGTGGTACTCTACCAAACTTCACGTATATTTGGTAAGTCAAACTAGGTAATAAGGCCTGTCCATGTTTTGTTTTGAATGCTGGTCGGCGGCCCATGCTCCATTGGGAGTAACAGGCTTAATTAAGTACGTAGTGTTTTGTTTTGGTATCATATACGATCAGAAGTCTTTCATGCACACCAAAATCTAGTCGCGGTAAAATTATTGAGAATACAAAAAATTTAGATTTGATTTCAACTATTTATTCAGTTCTTATTGATTGTATAATTCTGTATTTTACCTGACAGAACATAACTTCTCATCAATTTCTACATGTATTCATACTAAAAGAACAATGTTAATTATTCTTAACGTATAAATTTATGTATGAAATCACTAACTAAGCGTAGTTTTTTTAGTTTTAATGTGGAAATAGATTGGCTTTTATAAGTTCTCTATATCCACAAAAATGTACTCATGTTGTAGCATTCTTTGGTCGTGTCTCAAAAAGAGTGCATTCGCCTTCGCCAAGACTACGAAAATATCCAAGAAGCGTACCAGAATTTGGCGAACGATAAGCAGTCGAAGCAAGTGGCATCAGAGGGATCAAAGGTAAGCTTTAGAAAAGTCAGGGCTCTATTTCCTTATTGGTTGGTTGCATTTATAAATCAATTTATCAAGTTTTATGGTCTATGTTTTGCCATCAGTTCAATGCAATTTTGCTTGCGATCACTTGTGTAATTAAAAATACAACATCCATAATCATGCTCAACACATTTTATGTTCTGTTGTGAGTTTTTGTTATATGTTGGACCGCGTAAAACACGTGAGAGCAGCCTAGAGTTCTAATTGACCCTGCTTTCCGCCTAGTCCAGCCAGTTAAGTCCAGAACGCCAATCTCAGCCTCTGCAATATGAATCATTATATTTCAAACATACTGAATTTAAATACCAATCAAACAGACCACAACGTAGCATAAAATAGAAAATAACATTTGTACAAAATTTGGGCAAATGTGGCTGTGAATGTGGGAGGCAGTGACTAATAAACAGGGCATAATTCAAGAATGGTAAAACATATAATAATGGTTCATAGGTCAAAATAAAGCTTATAATAAGAGGAACATGAATATGAATAGTTTAGTTACTTAACAATTACACGATAAAAATATGCGTTTAATATTGGTCCACAAATGGATCCCAAAATTACCATTCGTTATTCTTGTCGGGACATAACAGTTTGTTGTTGACCTTTTTTCTGGTTTCAGTAAAGCAGAAAGATTTTACGATTGGGACGAATCCTTGGATTATGCAAATTTTTCTAGAAGCCTGAATCTAAGTCGAAGACTGGAAACACTAGTTTTGCTTAACGGTTGTAAAGTTTTCAGGTATAAAGTCAACACTTCTGGAGTAAGAGTCCAATGTGCCCCCAAATGCCCTGGTACGGCCGAGAGTGGGGAGAGTCCGCTCTCCCTCTCGAAATGCTCTCACATGGCCATGCGTATATAGCCTCTGCCAGGGAAGTCCTACTCACTGCCTTCTCGTGGTGGGGGTGTTGTTTACAAAAATGAGAGGACGAAAAGCGAATGTCTGGCGCTTTAACCGGACCCCAAACCAATGGTGCACATGGGCTCCGGTATCCTGAGGGAACAAATGGCGTATAAACCAACCGTTGGTTACCGGCCAAGATGGGACTGCACCTCCTTACGATGCTCCACTGCCTTGTGGGTCAGACGTTCAGGTCAAAGGCTCGGGGTGTGGCCCCCTAAGAAAACCACCTGCTTCGGTTTGGGCACCCGGGCAGTATCACAGCCCTCACACAAATCAATTGAGATTTGTGTGGCGCATATGTATTTGGTGCCTCCCTGTACCTATACTTATGTGTTAAAATAAAATATAAAATAAGAGTCCAATGTTCCAAGCTTTGAAGTAATTGAATCTGATAATATAAATCTGTAATCTAAAAAGCAAACAATACTATTTGTTTAGGTAGTACCTGTGTATAATCATGGGAAATTCAACCAGTTCGTCTTTCCTATGAAGTTCTACTTTGTTCTGTTGATATTTCTCAGGATAAAAATAAATAAGTTAAAATTGAGTCTGAACTCGGGTCGATGTAACTTTATTTGGTTCAGCAACTATAATAACAGTCGAATGTTTGTCTCGTTGTTTTTAAATAAACCTATGTAAAATACATTATGTTTTGATAAACATAATTTATACACCACCAATCAGTCAATCCTGAGCATCATAGAACCTGGCACATTCATCAACTAAAGTTTCCATACCACATCTCAGTGAGATGAGAATCAGTGTAGTATCAGTGACGGTAAAAATAGGATTAGTCATGGGGAATAGATTCGCGGTATATAAGGTATAAAATTAATTTGAAACTCAATTCTTCAGGAAAGAAATGAGTGGACAAATTTATGATACTATGACCAATTCTCAGTCATGCTTCCCGCCGTCTCCAACAGCTAGTCGTGAAAACCGTCTTTACTCCGAACTAGTAGTTTGCATATAACAATGTTCAGAACAACAGTCAATGATTTCCTAAACTGATGGTACGTCTTGATTTGACCACCCTAGCTTCCTACCAATCTATTTTTATCCCAACCGACATCGGACATTGAGGCGTGCGTATTTAGGTACCTTATTGATCTAGTATTTTGGTCGTAAATCCTTTTGGCGCTGTACATGTCGACGAGACATTTTTTTATCGTCATAATCAAACGTGATTTGTTTAATTTAAATAAGAGACATCAATCTTGATCCTCATATAGTTTCAGAAGATTTCAGTCAAATCGTATGTCAGAGAAATGCCTAAAAAGCAGTTATTGGGTTACACATTACTGTTTAAATAGGTTAAGACTTCTAAATGAATTGAAAATAATACAAACTGCATTTGAATTATCCAACCGGCCTAGTTGTCATGACGGAACCTAAAGAGATGATGTAGTTCTGTTTGATCATCACGGTTAGAAATCCCAACCACCACATCTAGGTAGCAGCTACAGACGGACCTCTTCTTAACTCTATCCATGATTTTTATCCAAAATGAAGTAAAACCAGTATTGTCTAGTGCAAATTCAAACATACTACTGGCTTGATAATTACATTTTTTGTTATATCTCAATTAGTATAAGCTACTTCAGAGTAAATAAATAACCGAATTAAATTAACACAAGTTTAAATAGTACTATTTAGAATGGTGTTATTAACTTTCTACCCAATGCTTGATATATCGATAAATTCAACTACCCATTGGTGTTGCTTTAACAAAATCACCCTTTACTGTTAAGTGATGCTAACCTCAAAACTAATATTTAATGATTCTCGTACTAGAAGTGAAACTATGAGACAGTATAAGCTATACGATTTTGTTTTATGAAAAAAATGTCTATTCCATAATTAAAATTCTTTAATAATTTTGTCGCTGTCTTAGTTTTCTATGGTCTTAAGCTTTAATAAATCGAATTACTGAATATAGTATCACTTTTTACTAAGGGTCAGTTTCAGCGCGAACATCTTAAATAGCTTTCTTAAATCTTCGATATAATGTTAGGAATATACAGATCACGAACTGTTTTGATTTATGTATATATCATCTAGCTGTTTTAGTCTGGATAGTTTTGCCTTTCTTGTTGCTAGTATTTATATTTCAATCGTTAACACCATTTAGAAAAAATGTTTGATTTGAAACTACTGTCAGACATTCATTTTTGTTTTGACGTGGAATCAGTTATTAGTTCTATTGGGTCCCATTGCTATCGTTGTAAAGGTATGTCGAGTTGTATCTTAATCGGTCTCTGGTTCATGCACTTAATTGTAATCACATAATAAACTATTTCTGGAATGTATAATTTTTTCACTTTGCCAGCAATTGTTTACCTTATTTATTTACTTGAACACATGTATTGGTACAAAGGGGCACCGAATACATATGTGCCACACAAGTCACTTGATTTGTGTGTGGGTTATGATACTGCCCGGGTGCCTAAACCGAAGCAGATAGTTTTCTTAGGGAGCCACACGCGGAGCCTTCGACCTACAGGTCTGGTCCACAAGGCAGTGGAGCACCGTAAAGAGATGAAGTTCCATAGTAGCCGGTGACCAATAATTGGTTCATATTCCATTTGTTCCCTCAGGATACTGGAGAACATGCCACCATCGGTTTGGAATCAGGGTTTCCCAACTCCCCTAGGTGTACCCTCTGTATCCACCAACCCGATTAAAGCGCCAGACATTCGCTTTTCGTCCTCTCATTTTCGTAAACAACACCCACTCCACGAGAAGGCAGTGAGTAGGACTTCCCTAGCAGTGACTGTGTACGCGTGGTCATGTAAGAGCATTTGGAGAGGGAGAGCTGACTCTCCTCACCCTCGGCCGTACCAGGGTATTCGGGGGCACAATAACGGGGTGGATTTATATGCATATAGCCTACAATTCTCTTTGAACTTAGCACACAACAATACAATTGTTTATCTAGAGACTTTTGTTTATTTCTAATCGATTACATGATTATCATTCTTTTAATTCATCAAATTTTGTTTAGCTCATGATTCTTCACATGTTTCCACTTGTATTGTAAAATCGGAAATTTTTTTTTCGGTAAATTTTAGAGATTTAAGTATAATTCATGTACTGACAAATCACTTCGTAGCTAACTTTGTTTAAATATTTCTATTCCTAATCATATGGGCTTTTAACGTTGCTTTTTACTTAACTTGATCTGGACAGCTAAATGATATTGCACGCTAGAATATTTGTATATCATACAGTCTAGAATGGGAACATGTAGGCATTTTATGCGCTGCATTAAGTGTCCAATATGTGTTCGAGTAAGATGATAAATCGCAAACGGTTTTTAACAAACAATTAGTTTGTTTGTTAGCTAACTGTCAAAATCATATTTTCGTGTTATATTTTGATTTTGTTCGAATTCAGGAAGGCAAAATCGAAAAATCTGATGTGAAAGTCGAGACGGACCAGCGTAAAGATGAAAAAGTGCTTGGAAAAGTTTTCGACCAGTTTCTATATTCTGATCATAGAGCAAATAATAGACAAGCCCTTGATAGTCATAACGGTAATGGTAAGGAGTCTCAGTAATAATGTTTTTTATCTTATTTAATGGAACTAGCTGTTCGATTTCATTTAAAATCTAAGAAAAATAAGAATGACTCACATCTTAATGACTTTTCCTAAAGACATTTTTCGGGTAACTAAAATTTTCCCGATTTGAATCCAATGGTTTGTGATTAAGTTAACCCAACTTACGTATGTCCTAAATCGTTCATATAACTTAAATCAAACTAGAATAGAAACAGATAAAGTGGAGTTTGAATGTTCAATAGGTGTTTCTATTAAGACAAAGTAATATTATCCTGTTTAGTTTAATATAAAATAACTTAATACCAAAACTAAAAATTCAGCCATATCATTGATAAGTTCTTAGCTAAATCTCTCAACATTTCCCGACCTTTCACAGCGAGGAAGTTGACAATATTTAAATGTATATAAAGCGTCAACCCAATTAATAATGTAGGTAGGTTGATTACTTATGTTTATGCAAAGTATTGACCTAATTACTACCTCGGGATTATTCATTTCTATCTGCTGTTTTACTTTTTTCAAAAACAGTTATTCCACAAATCACTAACGGCACAGAATTCTGTTATATCTGTGTACACAGTCTCTTCAACAAATACGCAAATTGAAGTGGGATGAACTTGGTTTTTACAAATTATAGAATTCATCATTACTAGTTCCTTCAAAATATTTTTCATTTGTGGCAGTACACTTGTTTTATCTGCGATTTTACTATTCAGAAATCCCTGAAAGCTCTCAGAACTCGGTATTTTGCATTGTTTCGTCTTTTCACGTTTTGCTAGAATCGTATGCACTGACAAGTTTTCCAAATTCAATCCATCAGGAGTCGTCCTGATAGTGAATCAACGGTCAAAAACCAAAAGGTCTCATAAATTCAGTGTTTTCACCAGCAGAAACGTGTCATCCCACATAAAGAGCCCTCAGTACTTTAATTTTCGTGCATAATTAAAACGCATCATCATTAGAAATGTTGATTCGTCAACCGGATATCTTGTATTGTTAAATCATCGGCAGACGTTTCTCGACTGAGCTCATCTTCCTGGTTTAGTATCTGAATATTAAGATTGGAATTAATATAAAAATAGTATGTGAATTTATGGTTAGCTGCAACAGTACAAATTTGCGATCATTAGATTTTCTAATTCTAAACTACTTTTTTTAGATGCAAGCATTCTTATGAATGGTTTAGACAATGGCATTTCGAAAATCCCTGAAAATTATGATGGTAAGTTGATTTCTTTTTCCTTGCTGGATTTCTGCACATAAACGGTTCACATTACCTATCTGTTCATTTATCTATTTTTGCTACAAAAGATTCGGTACAGATAGACGCTGAAAAATACTTCACAATTGACAAAGTACCAGTTATGAGAAATAAAACGGGTAATCACTTATTAATAAGATAGAAAAGTAATATTTAAAGAATCAGCTCAAATAGCGAAACATTTAAAATCGATTTCTTTTCTCCCAGAATATATACTTCAAAGGAACTAACGGTAACTACGACAGGTTTTCCGATTATATTAATTGAATCGTACCTCCAGGAATCTATGGGGATACTTGTAATATGTAAAAAGGGTGCTAATACATATAGTTTTGTAATACCATCTCCCAAACTGACTGCCGCTTTTCTTTCATTCACTCTCTGTGTCAGCAAATTGTATCCTGTTGGTTCGTGACACTCTGGTGTTTGTAATACAAAAATTAATCCAGTCTTCCAAATCGTTGCCAAGTTCACCCAACTCATTAGACACATGAACTCTTCAACAATAAGGTTGCATAATAGTGCCATACAAATATTTCATATAACTGAAGCCACTGACTGCTAAAAAGATTTTCATTTACTTTGTCTAGGTATCCGTCTAGCTTCGGTAAATCACTCAGACTGGAAAAAGTTCACAACATTTGGTATCACTGGCTGAAACACGTGTATATTGTCCTGGAATGTACATTAACTTCATTGATTGACTTAATCGTCCATCCAACATAAATACCTCTATTAATCTAATGAAACTGGACAAGTTAGCAACGTAGCCATCAAAACGTTTAAAAAAATATACTCTAGGGGTTTGAATATTGACATATTTTAAATTATTAGTGTTTGACTGGTTTTCTGCATCGTACTCATCAAACATAACCTCAAACATATCAACATTAAAATTATTGACATCATTGGTCACCGTAGCCATATGCGTGTGCTTACAACCTTTAACAAAAATGGGAATTGATGATGATGTGCCGTATTGAGCCGCCAAATAAAATTCTTACTTCCAATTTTTTTTTTGTTATCCATCAATTATCAATGCAATCTCAGAGTTTTATGGTTATAGAGAGGGGAATGGTTTATTTCAGTGTTTGTGTGGAATCCACCTTCTAAATTTAGAATGCAGTTGTCTTGTGGCATATTGAAGAGAGATGTGTATAATTTGAAGATAATTTTATTGCTCATTGGCGTACGTTGGATAGAAAGTGAAAACCTAACAGCACTGGAGATGTTTTTTAAGCTCTTTAGTCGTACACAAGGAAACATAATGGATTTCTGCCTTTCAGCTAACCAGTATATCAATTAGCAACTAGGCGTTTTACACACATGGTCATGTGTTTTTCTAAAATGAAGCTTACTTTGATTCGAAAATTACCGTGTTTAAAGTCAGTTCAATTTTAAGTAAATCAACTTTACGAAAGTTAGGGGCGGCCAAACCAAAACGTGGCATCACTGCTTGATGTCACTAACTTCTGGTATGAGCCATGTTGGCAAATGCAGACTACTTGGTTGGGGTCTGTCTGACTATCGGAACTAATGGTTGAAGACTCTTGGTGACATAGCTCAAAATCGATTACAATGGCGTCGGTGTATACACTCTCTGTCTTCCCTTAAACTATGAGACTAAAATCGCTTCATATTTTTCTACGTACTAATTGTTTCTTCCTGTACTATGTCCTTATATGCAATCTTTCTTTTATATATTACCACCATTGACTTAACTACTCCTATGATTCCGGTGTTCATCTTGCTGTGATAATGCGGTAAGGTAACTTAGACCGATGCATATATGTGCCTGGTCGTAGTTTGTGACCGACTGACTGAACTCAACTTTACATGCTCTTAAGGGTGTGTAAATCCGAATTCTGATAAATTTGGAAGAATAAAATCGTCTGTATTCCTTATTCTTAATACTATTGAATATCAAAGTCAACAGTCATTAAAGAGATCTCCATTCAACGAATTAACGATATAGCTCGTTAGGAAACTAATTAGAAGCAAATAGTTTCTCTGAGTTTTTTGTTTTCGTCGATAAATAATTCATTTCCCCTTGACTACATGTTTATTTATCTTTTGACGGAGAGAACCAAGATTTTATGTTGTTGGCAACGGTAATGTTTATCGAAAAGTTGGAATCAGAAGATTTGTTTTCATTGTTAGACCATATGAGATGAATTATGTGACTCTAAAATTCGCGTTTTATTTTGTTTCATTTTTTGTGTAATTCAGAGATATTTTTCTCCACCAAAGTCATATTTGTCGAGAAGTCGACGAAGTCAGTAGTATGATCAAGTTGGATTTAGTGACTTTATTAGGGCTAAGTTATTTGTTAAGTTAACGTTGTCGACAGTTCGACAGTAGTTGACTGAACATAATAGATATGGATTGTGAAATATCACAAATTAAATGAAACGTAGTATATATTTTTTGGATTCCAAGTTAGTGACAGAATAGTGTGTTGTCGGTCGGGCCTGGAGGCTTTTGGTTCAATGCAATCTCTATTAGTTATTCCCTCACTAGGACGGGATAGCTTTATACGTTCCCTGGTTTTTTTTATAAATAATTCTTCGGTCGATGTTGGTTCGTCATGAAAATTCTGTTCAAAGTAATTTAAGCAATCAGAATTTGGATTTTGAGTGTATAATTGCAGTTTTTTATTGATCGCATAATAACTAGAGATATTCTTATTCATGAGAAATCTGAAAACATACATACATTCTGAGTATTTTCAGTCCTGCATTTTATAAAGTGGTGTATTTCTGAATGTTTTATTCTTTGTTTGCTTTTACTGTATTGTAAATACATTATCTTATTTTTTAGATAAGTTAAATAATATCAACGAACGATTCGGTATGCAAAATAATTTCGATCTATTAAAATCATCGGAACCTGATAATTTCTGCGGTGTTCAAGGTTAGTGATATTTTATGCTGTTTGTGTTTCAGTGTTCCCACCGCCTTTTTAATTTATTTAATTAATATGATAACGTATAGTCTCTCTACGTGTTTTATAGTACATGATTAGGGTAGCGCACACTTATATGAAGGTCGAAGAACTCAGAACCACCGAAAACAAGTTCTTCTTGAATAATCAAATTTCCGGGTTATTTTAAATAATAAGAGAACTGAATAGACTTTTGTTAATACAGGCTTAATCTCAAATCCCTACTTAATTTACCAATAATAGAGTAGACTTCTATGAAAATGGCACTCATATCTTGTAATTTCTTCAAACGGTTGAATTCGATTATTTTGACTAATATCATCCATCTTAGATTGAATAACTTTTGATAACTAGTCATATAAATGCAAATAAATTTATTATTCTTGTTAATATCTGAGATTTTCGAACTTTTACGAATAAAAATAAAGAGAACAATTGTTTTGTTCTTTTTAAGAACATAAAGACTTTTTAGGCAATATATACTTCTGTTTGGATACTGAATTTTACTGTTTGTTTTTTAGGGCAACATGTCACAACAAATGATGAATCTCATAACGGTCATACATCTATTCGGATAATTGAAGGTATTCGGCTTTTCAGTCAATCAAATCAATTAATTAAATTGCTCCAAGGTATGAATAGATACTGTGTAGTGTTTACCTTTATTATACCTTTTTTCACTAATTTCCGGAAAACTGAACTTTACTTCATGTTTATTGTCATTTTCAAATTTGTGGTTGATGATTATGAGCTTCATAAGACTCTAAGTTGACCAAGAATGAAGTTGGTAGGTTTTTCTTTATATTAATTACATAGAATAAATGAAATATAATTCGTATTGGCACGTAGTTAGGGTAATCTAAACTCATTTAGTATTTAAGAAACTCGGGATCACGTTTTAAAATATATCGCTATTTCAATTCTTGTTAACATAAAGTCAAATGAGTCTACTACATTCCCTGTCTTCAGCTAACCAACACATTTCGGTTCGGTTATCTGTAATTAACAACAAAAGTAAACTTAGGTACAATATGTATTGCAAGACAGCTGTAGAAAATTGTGTACAGAAGCGAAAACAACCATTTATCTGCTTATGTACGAAGTTAACTATTTACAAAAGTGTGACGATCCACCTTGTCTAGATCATTTTTGTATTGACATTATCAAGCTAATTCAGAAAGTCTATCTTTCTAGTACAACGATACTTTGATAAATAATTTTGTGACCACTTCTAAGTTCTTGCTGTAATATCTTGATACATTTATACATTCTGGTGAATTACATTCGCCCTTGTTTTAATAATCGGATTATATTTAGATACCTTTCAATGTCAAACAGTGTAGATGTACAGGGATATTATTTCGGCAATGATGAAGTATAGATTTACTTTGTTAGATATGTTGCATATAGATTATCTTGAGCTCTATTATAATTAAATATTATAAATCAAAGTAATTTTCAACTATGAATTCAACAGTAAAATAAATACTTGACACTATATGTTATAACGCTCGATTTTCCCTCGTCTACATGAATGGGACGCTAATTTACCTTGAACGAATATCTATGCTAGATACCCTCCCAGTGTCTGTTCTACAAAACTTTAACACAACTCAGATCAAGAACACGTGATTAGCCTGGCTAGAACGTAAGTATATTTCCACATGAAAACCCGATAATAATAATAATAATAATAATAATAATAATAATAATAATAAGGGTAAAAGAATATATAACTCATTTGTACCTGTCAGACTATTTCCTAGTCTAAGTAAACAACGAATCATCATCATTCTCGCCCATACGTCACTATATGATCATTTTACGTTGCTACCTTTTGGTTTTTTTATAAACCTACTGATAGGAAGTTTTTTTAGTTTGTCCTGAAATTCTTATAATGTTATTTAAGAAAAATTGCTTTACAATTTATTCATTTAGATGAATTAAGTATTTTGGCCAAGATAAAAAGGTCAAATGAATCAACTCTTTCCTTACCGGTGAATTCTGACTCAGCTACAAACAATATTGATTCTTTTGAGTCTCTTGATAATGTTGATCCTGATAAAACTTCATTGAAAAGACTCGATGTTATTAATTGTAAAGAAAATTTCGAAACTGCCTTACAGCGTGCAACAGAGTATGCTACTTTAGTTGCCAATCTTCAACGTCGTGTATGCGCTGATTTAAATTCTTTGTGTTTACCACCGAATCTTCATAATAATCCTGATATTTTTAATATTCACAGTAAGTTATTAATGTGTTTTACGTCAGTAAATCACTATTCTGATTTATCACTATTTATTGAACAAACCGGTGTGCATATTTTATACATGAAATTAAATTCTTTTTTTCTTATGGTCCATACTTTTACAAAAAGGTTTCCAAAATTGAATAAAACAGCAAACAATTTTTGTTATAGTAGTGGGATGGATAATTAATTGTTATCCTATGTACTATTTATTCACCACACTAAGTGACATTAAGGAGTAACTAATCATGTACACACTAGTGACTAACTTCATGACTAGTTTTCAGGAGTCCTAGTGACCTTAACCATATCAAAGATGAGAGGGATATAACCTATAACCATGAATAATCTTTGCGCTTATGACACGGATTGACCAGAAGTTGAAATATAGATAGTTGGATTCCGATTTAATATTCTTGAGGTAATGGGCTCACTTGATATCTAGTGGTTATAGGTTAAGTTCTCAGTAAGACAGGTTGTAGGTTTTTACTGCTAAATCCCAGATTAATAACTGTCATTCTATAATTGCTCTTCACCACTATCTTTTTAGATGATTTATGTATACCTCCGGTTGAATTCAGGACGTCTCATATAACTAAAATGGATGTTTGTCTAGGAACAGAAACACTTGCCGATCATATTCAATCTACTGAAGTGGATGGGACAGCCAACCAGAAAATTGAATTTAATCACTTGCAAGCGTCCGGAATGGGTAAAGATTCACATACAGATGAAGAACTTTCAAAACTACACAGTGAGTATTGTTTATGACCATTAAGTAATATTGTGATCTCTAATAATAAAATGCCCCCAAACTTGACTTCATTATGTCCACTCAGTAAGTTAACCCTTCTCACATAGGTTTACCTACTGTAGTATAACTGGCCATCTATCTGTAAGTCTTAATCCAGTCTATTTCAGAGCCTAGTATACATGTACATAATTTCCCAGTTTTATTTATTTCACACGATGTGAACTACTGCCTTGTTTTTATCTATAGTCTCTAATACTTCATTGATTATGTTCAGTAGTAGAAAATTAGTTGCGAAAATGTTAAATAGTTCATACGATATTTCATTGTATTTCACTGTTTATTTCGGAAAATGTCATCGTCTAGATAAAAGGAAATATAAATATATAGTTATTTTTCGTGTAATTAAATGTCATTACAATTTTCATGTAAACCTACTATCTATGTATTTTTTTTAAGATGAGCTAATGGAATCCGTGAATGAGATTGAAACTTATAAACAGTTGACCGAAGATTTAAGAAAACAAGGTGAGTTTTTAAGTTTGTTGTCTCTGTCCTAGTGATTATTCCAATAGCCATTAGAATTGAATTGTTAATGAAATACTGTCAATATTGAAAATTCGTGTTGAATATTTGTAAAATACATAGTAGTTGTTTATTTTTTATAATTTGTCTTTACGTTTTAGCAAGTTTATCAATCACCTTTATTTAGTGTATATACCACTGGATGTTTGCTTTCGATTTGTTTCTATTTATATATACACAGTATTTTGTAAGATATTGTTATTATGCCATTCTACGCAAAATTCCTTTTCTTATGATTACTTTTTAAAGTAAATTTCAAAACATTCTAATCTAATAGTTTATATGATATAAGTGTACGTTTTCTTGTTTATTTCAATTGTAGATGCCGCTAAAGCAGAGTTATTGTTATTAGTTCGAGGAGAATGTGATGCACTAAAAAATCGAATCGCTGTAATTGAAACGGATGTAGCAACAAGTCGTGCTGATCATCATCGTCTAATATCTGAAACAAGAAGAGCACAAGCAGAAGCAAATGAATTGTTACTTGAACGTGACAATTTGTCGAAACAAGTGAGTACTGTCTATGTTATTTTACCAGATATGCAAATTTGTGTTTAGTATTTATTGTAAAATAATCGTAACTTGTACTTTTTTAAACACTTAGCTTTAGTAGCCCTGAATTCCCTGGTACGCCCGAGGGTGTAAAAAGTCCTGTCTGCCACTCAGAACGCACTCACATAACCACGCGTATACAGCGACTGCTAAAGAAGCCCTACTCACTACTTTGTCGTGGCGGGCTTGTTGTTTAATAAAATTGAGAGGACGAGAAGCGAATGTGCTGTGCTCTAACCGAGTTGGTGGATATAGAGTGTCTACGTAGAGGAGTTGGGAAACCCCGATTCCAAACCAATGGTTTACATGAGCCTCAGGGAATGAATTGCACATGAACGTATTGTTGGTCAACGGCTATCATGGGACTGCATCTGCTAACGTTTCTCCACCAAGTAGTTGATTAGAGCATTAAGTGGAAAGTTTGATTAGTGGTCCTCCAAGAAAACGACCTACTTCAGTTTGGTCACCCGAGCAGTATTCCAGCCCTCACACAAATCGAATGATGAAGTGTTGCGGATATATATTTGATGCCTCCTTGTATTAATGTTTTGTGTTTAAATAAATAAATATTTTTAATTAGAATGCGTTTATTTGCTGTCATAGTAATCTCACCTCTGGTTACTGTTTATTCGTCACTAATTAATACTCTGTTTACATAGAAAATCTACTTTCCAAATTCATCTATTTTTTAATATGTATCTTGAATATTTCGCTTTACATAGTTCCATTAGTTTTTTTAAGTTTTACTAACTCCTCACTATTCACGGCATCAAATTTTACTGTAATTGGTAAATTTGGATTTATAAAAGGCAACTGTAATTTTACCCTTGATTTTTTTATTTCTTTTTTTAAATAAAAACTTCTAGCTAGATACTGCTAATAATCAAATAGAACATTTACAAAAGCTTCTTGCCAGTACACTTTTGTGTGATACCAAAACACAGATTTCTAACAAGAATGCTATTTCCAATGAAATATCCACTGTAAATTCTTTAAATGATAATCTTTGTCCAACTAACCAATATCCTACTAGAGCTAGCAACGTGCCATTGCATGAACATTATGTAAGTATTTTTTTGTTACTAAATATATGTGTATATATCCTGATTATTTTGACATGAAAAAATATTTTGTTTATAATTTTGATTGATATTTCTTAATCATTCAGTGAAACTTTTACTTTTTGCCTATTGATAAGTAGTATTGATAATAAACTTTTAATTGATCATAGAAAATACGATCAATAATTAGTTTTTCGTTTTATCGCATCGATTATGACAAAATTTTCTTCAAATATTACTAAAATTATGAATAAATAATATATTTGTAATCTAATTGTCTACTCATTGGGGTATTACAAATATATTATTTATTTATAACAATCAACCCAATGCGAAACTCTGGAAGACGTGGAATCCTTCACATACCTGGGAAGCATCGTCGATAAACAAGCAGGTTCAGATGCAGACGTCAAGGCGAGGATTGGCAAAGCTAGAACGGCATTCCTTCAACTGAAGAACATATGGAACTCAAAACAACTTTCAACCAATATCAAAGTCAGAATCTTCAATACGAACGTCAAGGCAGTTCTACTGTACGGAGCTGAAACTTGGAGAACTACAACAACCACCATCAAGAAGGTACAGGTATTTATTAATAGCTGTCTACGCATGATACTCAACATCCATTGTCCGGATACCATCAGCAACAGCCTTTTGTGGGAGAGAACCAACCAGCTTCCAGCTGAAGAGGAAATTAGGAAAAGACGATGGAAATGGATAGGACATACATTGAGGAAATCATCAAACTGCATTACGAGACAAGCGCTAACTTGGAATCCTGAAGGGAAGCGGAAAAGAGGAAGGTCAAAGAACACATTACGTCGGGAAATAGAAGCAGATATTTAAAAGATGAATAAGAACTGGAAAGAGCTGGAAAGGATTGCCCGGGACAGGGTTGGATTGAGAATGCTGGTGAGCGGCCTATGCTCCTTCACGAGGAGTAACAGGCGTAAGTAAGTAAGTAAATAACCCAATGCTCAATTTATTCGAAATTACTAAAATTATCACCAATTTACTTCTGTTCTTTTATTTTTACAGTTCTCATTATTTGCTGTCATTCCTGTTATGGTATTGATTTGTGCGTTCATCGTATATATTTTCTTGAAGTTTGTTCGATGACCATCTGATTATATGACTTGTATACAACTGGATTCTCTATACTATTCTCCTGCTGTTAATAAAATCACACACTAGTAATAATGCTAATAAATCATTTTGATTAGTTTCGAAACCAATAAAGGTAGTTCAGTGTGGGAATTTGAGAAATGTGTGCATTCATATTTCAGTCAGCAATTTCGTGAATTTCTACTCACTATATTATACTTGTACCAATATGTATTGTTTGTCTCGGGGATTATTCATCTTGGTTCAATCTATGATCAGTTCATCGACCAAGCAACCAGCTTTTTACTTGTATCACCTCTTATCATTTTTCATTAATAAACACCTGTTTTTTATACATTTGTGTAGTTGATATAAATCAGTATGCTTACTATTGTACATTTAAAGCCAATGACTGTCAACAGTTATTCAGTTTGTTTCTTCCCTGTCTGTAGTTACTTTAGAGATTTCCAAAAAACCGCTTTTCCATTATTCTCTTTCTATTACTAGTATCATTATTGAAATGTATTTCCTGTTACCATGATAAATTTTGCTATTCTTTATTGACACAATTAAACTGAAATGTCACTGGTAATAGTTATATATATATATATATATATATATATATATATATATATATATATATATATAAACGCGTGATTTTGTTGAAGTATGTTTTTATGTATATATATGTAGAGATTTGTATTTATCAATTCTATTATCGCACTGATCTCTGATGACATCTTGCATTCTTTCCTCTTATTATTATTGTTATTGTTATAATTACTACCGTAAACTGCATGCCTTTGTTTCTCACGGGCTTTCCATTGTTCTTTTCCCCGTACGTCTGTGTGTAGAACAAATATTGTCCCTTTTTTCACCTTTTTCGTTTATCTATGTAATAATCTATTTACTGATAAACTAACTATGCTACCTAGGCACAAATCGCCTAATGTTACAGTAAACTTCACATCTTTAATTAGTATTACTACCACTATAAACTTATTTCTTTCCATAGTTCTTTTTTATAATTCGTGATTTTTTTTTAAATTGTCATAGGTACATTCGCAAGCAGTGCATATAAAAGAATGAAAGAGTTCAGTTTAAGTCATGTACGAATGCACATATATTGTTATATAAATAAATACGGTTATGATTTTTTTGCTTGAAAGCATGTCTTACAACTTGGCAAATTCTTCTTTACAGAGACATGATTATTTCGCTTGCTTATTTGTATCACAAACAATTCTGGGGACCGCTAAAAAGGGGGTAAATTCACCTGGATGAATAATTTTTGTTGTATGGTTCATAAATAGTAAATGAAATGTCAACGAGCTTTGGAAATCTTTTCTGTTATGCAGCACTTTCTACCTTGTCTCTCGCTAAATTCGATTATGCTTTCGACTTTCGAAATGGTAATGTAAAATACACATTTCGTTAAATGTGTATGCACAAATGGTTACATATTTCCTAATGCCTTTTCGTTTTGAGAACAACTAAACCATAGCTCAAAACTAGTATGTGTGTTTAGACACTGCGTTTGTACTGTTTTAAAATGAATTAAATCTGCCCCCCCCCTTATATATATTTAAAAGCTTCTACATTTTCTAAATACAAATTTGGTACAGATGCTTGTTAACTCACGATTTTCATTTTATGATAATAAGACTAGTGTGCATAATGGAGTTTCGTAATACCTTACTTGATTAAGACATTTAAGAAAAAATAAAATATACGATTTTCAATTTATTTAACCCTGTTCTCTTCAGACGACGTTTATATGTTTTTTCTTTAGTATTTGAATCTATGGATTTCACGTTCAATGTTCAATTATTAAACTAAAGGGATTGTCTTGTATATTATTGCTTAGTCTTACACACACAGTATTGTTCAGAATTACAGGTGTTTATAAAATACTTCATTCTTTTTATTAGTATACAGTGTATAGTTAGGTAGTTACCGTTGTCCATAGTTTTTTTATAGTTTCGATGTACATATTACTGATTAAAAAATCAATGAATAATATGCTTTGCTGTGGGCTTTCTGGTCGAATCTAAATAATGATATAGTATGTATTCTGAAAATAACTAGATTATACACCACTCTACAGACGTGATCAGGTTGATACAAACTGGATGTGACTGTACAATACTCAAAACGACATATTTTATTTGAACAATTGTCACAAACATATGTAATGCCGGAAATATAGGTGAAAAACATAATTAAATGCAATGCCATTTTCGAGTATTTACATACGCCCCAAAAGGACTTGGTTCGCCCGAGGGTGTAAAAAGTTCTGTCTGCCACTCGGAACGCACTCACATAGCCACGCGTATACAGCGACTGCTAGAGAAGCCCTACTCACTACTTTGTCGTGGCGGGCTTGTTGTTTAATAAAATTGAGAGGACGAGAAGCGAATGTGCTGTGCTCTAACCGAGTTGGTGGATATAGAGTGTCTACGTAGAGGAGTTGGGAAACCCCGATTCCAAACCAATGGTTTACATGAGCCTCAGGGAATGAATTGCACATGAACGTATTGTTGGTCAACGGCTATCATGGGACTGCATCTGCTAACGTTTCTCCACCAAGTAGTTGATTAGAGCATTAAGTGGAAAGTTTGATTAGTGGTCCTCCAAGAAAACGACCTACTTCAGTTTGGTCACCCGAGCAGTATTCCAGCCCTCACACAAATCGAATGATGAAGTGTTGCGGATATATATTTGATGCTTCCTTATACCGGTGTTTGTTTAAGTAAAAATAAATAATACGCGTGCTGGTTCGTTCTCTCTCACAATATGCTGTTGGTGATGGTATGTGTTCAACGGACATTCAGTATCTTTTTCAACTATGGAAATGCTGTCTTTGCTCTGTCAATTTTCGCCTTTACGTTTGATCACTGCATCGTTATCTAACCAAAGAAAGTAAATATTAGCTAGTGTGAGAATTTTAGTGGTATCAATCTATCAGCACCAGGAAAGGTTTTCAACAATGTTGTTGAAGCGGATAGAAAATTCAATAGATGCTTAACTTGGATTCTGTATGGATTATTTGTACAGACCGAATCTAGACTTTACGTATCATTGTTGAACATTAAATGGGATAGAATTCGTCGCTGTACATCAACTTCCTTGATAATGAGCAAGCCTTCTCTGACACTATTATTTACCTGAGAGGGTCGTCAACCTCATGCATTCATACCACGGAGTACACTGTAAATTAGTGCATGGAGTAAAGCTGACATTCATTACAAATAAGGACGAGTCAGGCTTGGCTACTTAATTTTCCCCTTTCTCTTTCTTCTAGTGGTTGACTGGATTAAGAACACCGGTTTCTGAGGTGAAATACGGAAAACACTGGATAGCGTGGATGCAACCAGATGATTCAGACTTTGCAGTTGACTTAGTTCTTCTATTCCATACGAAGCAACAAATGGAGGTGAAGATAGCCAGTGTAGCAGCAGCAGCCTATCTCTAACTAATTCATGATGTAAGCTACAAATAATTAGACTATTTGAGTTTGTTAAACTGAGTACAAATAAATTTTGTTGGGGCTGTGTTCTCTGCGCTTGATAGTATAATCGTGAAGCATATAAAGTAATGTCTATGAAATACATCAAATTCAACAGTTCACCTTTAGTCAGTATATGGTAAACAAATAAATTTACTAAAAAAATATATTTTAGACACACACACAGGCGCGCACAACTGATTGAAACAACTCTTGTCAAATTCCATGTTATGATCTACATCTGAAAATACTGTCTATTAAAGTAAGTTTCTCTTGTACAAGTAAATTGAGTCAGCCGACCATTGAACAAAATCAATGAATAAAGAAGTAATTCACAGTTAAATGTACATGGCACATTAATTCATGTTAAAAATGAAGCACAAATGGAAGTATCACTGAACAGACCACATTCTATACATTTCCATAGAGTATTATATGAATTTGAATAATAATTTTCATGGTCTACGTCATGAATAGATTTTAGTTAGGCAACCGATAGAAACCAGTGAAAAGCATTGAACAGCTATTCCATCTCAGTAAACGACTCCTCACCAATGTGCACTCATGAATAAATGAGATCAGTCCTAAATGTAAACTCGAACAATTGGAAAATGTTTTCAATCCAACCTCATCCCAACCCCAGAATAATACCATTTATTCTGCATTATTCAGTTGTTTTTGTCACGACTTGTAGCTATTATATTGTTTCTGGTTTATTGAAGAAAAAGACTGCATATAGTTTACTTGGTATGTTGTAGATAAAGGTTTTACAAATGCCAATTGAACATAGAACACATACTACTAACCTGTTCTTCTCAGTAGATTGTAAACTGATAGTTCATCACTGTCAAATCTATAGAACAATAGTTGTTTTTATGTTTGAATTCATTTCTTGCCTAATATATTCCATAATATTGAACTCGGATAACTTTTCCTTCAGCCGAATCAATATGGCTACCCCGTCCAATGGGACCAGTCATTGAGCTACACATTTATCTTTGTACTGAAACATTTGTGCTTCTTCCCATGAATGAAATATTTTAATTTGTGCCCACACCATTCGATTGAAAGATTTTCAACACAAACATAGAAACATCTAATGCAAATGACTGAAGTTCTAAAGACAACAATGAACGAAAGTAATAGGTAAATTTGATATATATACTTATACGTGAAGGCGAGGATTGGCAAAGTAGGGACAGCATTCCCACAGTTGAAGAACATATGCGACGCAAAACAACTGTCTATCAACAAATATCAAAGTGTGGGTCTTCAATACGAACGTCAGGACAGCTCTACTGTACGGAGCTGAATCGTGGAGAACTACCACAACCATCAACAACCTATTGTGAGAGAGAACGAACCAGCATCGAACTGACGACGGAATTAGGAAAAGACGTTGGAAGTGGTGGGCGCGACATACACTACGAAAATCATCAAACTGCATCATGAAACAGGCACTAAGTTGGAATCATGAAGATAAACGGAAAAGAGGGAGACCAAGGAACACACTGAGTCGGTAATTCGAAGGAGACATGGGGAGAAAGAACGTCACTTGGAAACAACCCGAAGCGAATGCCCAGGACAGTGTTGGATGGAGAGTGCTGGTGATTGGCCTATGCTCCTCCATGAGGGTTACCAGGCGTAAGTAAGTAAGTAGGTAAGTGAGTAAGCATGTAAACAAATGTATAATTTAAAAATGAAGTCTAGTGTGATGCTGTTATCTTAACTCAATTTCTTGTTATTTCTTTCTGTAACACCAACATTTTGGAATTTCGTCGTCGGATTGTTTGTGATTCATGTGTGCACGTATCGAATACTTGAGAACCAAAATGGTACAAGGTGTTAAAATATCTCTGTATAACGAGACATTTAATCTGTTCTGTGTATCCTATGTTTATTTATTCATCAGTATTGGTTATAATTCCCTGTCGGTTTTGCAGTGTTATCTCATTTCTCGCTTCAGCGTAACTTGTAAAACGCTTCTAAATTGTGTTCTATGCCCGTAACCAACACATGTAGACTAAAATGAACTTCGTCCACCTTACTCGAACCTGCATAGTTTTTGCCACTTCTCGATTATCTTACTGTGTTTATTCATCACATACCGA